ACCTGTCTCGGGAAAGGGCGCGGCGAGAAGAGAGGAAGGGCCAAGCGGAGGGGAGAGGAGGAGGCTAGGGGGAGGAGGGGGGGGTCCGAGCTGCCGTGCCTCCTCCCTCCACCGCCCCTGCCTAGTGCCTGAATAGTGCCCGAATAGTGCCCGAATAGTGCCCGAAATAGTGCCCGAAATAGTGCCCAAATGAACCCCTCATAGTGCCCAAATGAATTTCTCTTGTAAAGGAAAACAAAATCTGTCTTTTTTCGCAAGAAAAATCATTTGGGCACTATGAAGGGTTCATTTGGGCACTATTTCGGGCACTATTTCGGGCACTATTCGGGCACTATTCAGGCACTAGGCAGGGCAGGGCAGGGCAGGGCGGGGCGGGGCGGGGCGGGGCGGCGCGGGACGGGGCGGGGCGCGGGGCGGGACGGGGCGGGGCGGGGCGGGGCGGGGCGGGGGAGGGCGGGGTGGGGCGGGGCGGGGCAGGGCCGGGCCCCGCCGGGCCGGGCAGGGCAGGGCAGGGCAGGGCAGGGCGACTATCACGCCTTCACCTGCAAAGCCACCCAGGCCAGCTGGCTAAAACCGCGCCGCGAGGTGCTCAATGCCCAGCAGGCATGCCGAGGCAGCAGCCACGCCTGCATCAGTCACAACCTGTCGCAAGCAAGATCTGCGCACCTCATGAGTTCACTGCAAGCGAGCGCTTGTGGAAGCATTTCTTGTTTCAGAAGCCAGGGTATGCAAACGAACCCCGCGTTTCGTGACGCTGTCCGAACCATGTGCGCGCAATTTGGCGATGGCTGATGGCAGCGAAGCATCCGGTGAGCCCCAGCCCTTGGCAAATGGCCCGGAGCAACACCTAGACGCAGATGGCAGTGCAGAACCCGGTGAGCGAGCTGTCCTGCAACCTCAACAACACCCAGACGGACCCGTCGAGCTAGACGAGACAACCGAGGTGCGCGTGCGAGGTGCCATCGCCGAACTTTTGCCCAGCGTGGATCTGCAGCAGGTGAGCGTTTATGACTTTCGCTGCCAAATCGCACGCCATCTTGGTTTCGGGCGCAAAGGCTTAGAAGCCGCCGCTGACCAAGTGAATCTCTGGATTCGCGAAGCCGTGGACAACCGTGTGGCGCGTGCGCAACAAAGCCCCGAGCAGCGCATGGAAGCCATGCTGGACATACTCGGCTCCGAGGATGAATCTAAGAAGACACAAGTCCACTTTCTCACATTTGCGCGTCTCTTGCCGGGCACGGCAGAGCTTCGCGATCTGCGAGATTTGGAAGCGATGTCGCGCGAAGACCTTGCTTGCTGCGTTTGGAAGGCTTTTGACGAGCCTGTAGCTGCAGGTCGTGGCCGCCCTCCAGGTGCTACACAGCTGGTTCGCAACCTCGTCGTTTTTCGAGAAGAGCATGCGGACGGCATGCATCATTTCCACGTCGCGGTCTTGCTGCGACAATCGCGTAGCTTCGTTGCCGCAAAGCGCACCCTGCGTGAGCGAGACCACCTCGCTGCGCACTTTTCCGCTTCGCACACTGTCTTCTGGAGCGCGGTCCGATATGGACACATCCCCACGGCCAAGAAGCCCGAGGTGGATGCCAACCCCGTATCCTGGTCAGAAGATGGCGGTTGGAGTGCGCTGGACTTGTTTGCCGAGTCGCAGAGACCATGGATGGCTGAAGTCTGGAAGCGTAGACACGAGGACCTTTGGTTTGGGCTGAAAAGTGTTCTTGTGCATCGGAGTCCTTGCGTTTTTGCGTGCAGGTTTCTGGCATAATGTTCCGTAATGAGACCTAGCTCAACCTTGGACTTACAGGAGTCCGCAAAAACGGCCAGCGGAAGCCAACAGAGCTCCAAAAGGCCGAAGTTCAACAAATTGGATTTGACTTCCATCATGCTGGCGAAGAACTTGACGACCAAGGCTGCCGTGCTGGCATATGCCCAAGACCATGGCACGGCCGAGATGCAGGTCTTCGTTCACGCGCATCAGAGAAAGCTTGCGGACTTTCTGCAAGAAGCCGCCGACTGGGGAATGGCACGCTCCGCGGCAGCGGCCGAAAAAGATCTGGACTGGGATCTGGTCTGCCGTACAGCGCAGGAAGCCTGCCCACATGATGGGAGCTGCACCTATGCCGCAGCCGTGCAAGCGTTCTTCTCGGCCAATGCAGCGTGTGTGTCGCAGCAGGAGCTGGCAACGGCCCTGCGGGCGATCATTCGCTCAGGCCCTTCGAAGACAACACGGGTGCCGCTTCTTGCAGGTCCCACGAATTCTGGGAAGACAACCATCTTGCTTCCCTTTGATGATCTTTTCGGTTTCAAGCACGTTTTCCACAAGCCTGCATTGAACTCCAAGTTCGCGCTTCGCAATCTGTTGAAAGAGAAGCGGTTCTTGTTCTGGGATGACTACAGACCTGTGGAATACGCCCAGGAGACTCTACCAGTCACTGCGTTTTTGAGCTTGTTTCAGGGCCAGCCCCTCGAGGTGCAAGTCTCGCAGGCCTTCAACGATGGCAATGTGGACTTTGAGTGGCATCGTGGATGCATTATGACCGCCAAGTCCGAGGGCCTCTGGGTGCCATATGGTAGCGTCTCCCAGGAAGATGTGCGCCACATGCAGAGCCGTGTCCATGTTTTCACGGCCACCGCCACCGTCCGTCATCTCCAGGACACGCAGCCCTGCAAGCAGTGCATGTGTGCGTGGATCCGCGACGCGGCAGCGCAGCACGATGCAGAGCAGGTGGTCCGTGTCGTGGGGCCGCCCAGAGCCGTGGAACCAGCATCAGAAGCTGCGGGTGTGGCTGGACTTGCAGCTCTATGTGTGCAAGCCCGCCTGCCCGCGGAGAAGATGCAGCACATGGATGCCGAGCTCCACGCTTTGGGTGCCGTGCATGTGACGGAGCTTAGTGTAGAAGATTGGAGGCGCTTGCAATCTTGGGGGTAGTTGCTGCCTTTCGAGCAGCGCCGCCTCCTGTCGGCAGTCAGCAGCTAAAGCGCTGTCTGATCACCTGGTGTCGAGGAACGAAAGAGTCGTGCGGTCGGCGACGGCAAAACTGTGCGCCAGCTGCACCACGAGCCTTTCAAACTTAATCGCTGTGCCAGGCGGCGGATTTCGGGAGAGCGCTTTGGTCTGCCTTTGCTTTGGGTACCAGAAAGCCGGTCTATGTCATCTGCAAATGCAGGAAAAACCGCGTCAGGTTAACGCCACCGATGCTGTGGATGTTGACTGGCAGGGTTACAAACGTGCGAACCATTACCTGCTCCTTTCATTCGCAGCGTCACGAAACTCCGCAAGTCTAGCAGAAACCTGGACGTCTGGGCCTTCCGCAGAGCCGGAGGATAAGCGCGAAGTGATGGCTACGTGATGGGCTGAAAGCCAACCGAAGGCGCGGAAAAATGTTTGAAGACCACAGGGAGCATTGACTAGCTGGAGATGCTCAAGCCCGCCGAAAGTTCGACCAAAATGGTGTTAAGTTTTGAGGCAAAGATTGCGGCGAGCCTGTTCTAGAGGTGCAAAAACCGTAGGACAGATTGTAGCGACGCAATGTCTCTTTCAAAATGTAAGACCGTGTCATACACCATTTTTTTCGAACTTTCTGCGGGGTTTAGGATCTCCAACCCCAGAGAAACTTCGACAAAAACCTTAGAGCTGACAGTTTTTGAGGTTAGATACGCGCCGCACCGTAGGAAACTCTTCCGACAAGCAGAGGCACAGAGGAGGAGCTGCGCGAGCAGATCTTGGTGTTGTGCAGAGACGTGCAAGAGTCAGGGTGCTGGAAGGTGGCACAACACATGCTTACATCACAAACTTGGAGGACGAGAGCCGCGCTGCGTGAAATTTCCCTTTCCATGCGTATGCACTGTGCACAGCATGCGACTTCTCCGAGCTTTTGCAACCGTTCTGAAGTGTCTTCAGTGCTGCTATGTCCTTCTGACCTCAGCTTGTGCTGACTGTTGGGCTTGGAACGCCGGCCAGGCAGGTGGAAGGTGGGATGGCTGAGGCTACAAGGCAGAGCTTGGAGAGTGGAAGTTTTTGGAGGTCACGATGCGTGAAGGTCTACAGGCACGCTGCACTCCCTGTCACGACCCAGTTGACCAGAGGTTTGGCCAGTTCCCGTGCTGACGGCCGCGCTGTGCAGAAGAGGCGGGCTTTGACACAAGTGGAGGGTGGAACAGCTGCCCAGGCAGCGCTCTGAACACGAAGGTCTAGGAGTGTAGGAATGCCTGCAGGCAGTGGAAGCTCTTCAACGCACTTGTGAGCAGGTGTTGCCAGCTCCCGTGACGACGGCCGTGCTGTGCAAGACCAGCGTCAAAATGTGCTGCGGATAGTTTCTTGTCTCTGGAAGCAGCTGCCGTCCGTACTTGCAGCCTTTCCCGCTCCATGTGTCTTTGCTTCGGCCTCCGTTTCCAACCAAGTCATTAAATCCAGCTAGACTCTCGTATTCACGCTTGAATCCAGATTTCCCCGCACCCCCTTAATTTCAATGTTGCAGTGGACAGTCTGCTGCTGCTGTGAGGGGGCACTGCCGGTCTGGCTGGCTGGAAGAAACGAACATTGAAATTGGGGGGCGGGGGGGCCAATCTGTATGATTTTGTAACATTGGGTGAGGCTACTTTCTGCTTCGGATGCAGAGGAAAAGTCCAGGACCAGTTTCGGTACCCTGCGAGTTGTGCAGGGCTCTGCGGGACAAGTCATCCATCATCTGCACCTGTTCGTGTTGGAATGACGGGGCCGTGCTGCAATGCTATTTTGGCTTCTGCAGTTTTTTCCTCTGCTGTCTGTAGCTCGCTGGCCAGTTCTCGTGGACCCTGCCTCATGGGAGAGGCGGCCGAAGACATGGAAGAGTTGGGCGGCCGTGCCGAAGGCAGGGCTGATGGCGGCGGCAACCGTGGCGGCGAGGCACCAGCTGTGCAGGACTGGTTGGGCATGCCAAGGTTTTTGCTGTTTTTGTGAGTATCTCACACAGTAGGTTTGGTAATTGGTTCTGAGCCAGGCATTACGCAGAGTACAGAAATGCATGGCGTCGGTGAGAAAAGCTTTGAGTCGATCCAAAGCACGTGCGGCGACGCTGCATTTGACCGTGCGGGAAGCGAGCATCGTGTTGGCGATATATTTGTTGTCGCGGTACAATCTCAATGCTGTGGCATTGTATGTGGCTTCAAGAAATGCGGTCCGGCAGCAACCGAGCCACAGTGCAGCAGAGGTGCGTGAGTTGACAGAAAGCCTGTACTTAGAAACTTCCATCGACGAACTGATTGCTTTGGAGTGTGGGGAACCTGGAAGACACGCGCGTGTCCGACACGCAGCAGTGTCGTTTTTGGCGGAACTGCGAACAGTTGAATGGTTGGAGTCTCAAAACATGCTCGGCGCCGCCCCTAGCTCGGCTGCCATGGCCAGCAAGTATCTGATGTTTTGCGAAGCTTTTCATGACTCCCGGTGGGACGGTGCGCTGGCGAGGGCGGTCCACAACAATTCGCTGAATCACAGCGCTGGGCGGTACTTGCGCAAGTGGTCTGCAGACTTCCGCGAACGCTGGAATGTTGCTTTTCGAGTGCTTTCGGTGAAGCCTCCTGCACCTTGCGCAGAGCTTGCGGCGAAGGTCTGGCGAAGAAAACAGTGAAGCCCGAATCGGCTTCAGAAAGTCCCCGGTAGTATATGGGCGCGTGAGTAATGAAGCCAAATTGTGGCCTCAAATTCTGACACCATAGTGGCCTCAAACATGTGCATCCTTTAGGTTGCTCTGGGTACTCTGACTCTTTGTGTTCAGGTAAAAACTCTGTGGCAGTGGGTGTTCTGGCTACGCCACTGCTGTATCGGCGTTGGCAAGATTCCAATCTTGCTGAACTTGGATGAAACCTACATCCCCTGGAGCCCTGGCTCACTTGCTGGCAATGTTCTTCGCAAGACCAGAGTGACGGGCGCGAAGCGTCGCAGGGGAGGCTTTACTTATACGCCCATCATCTGCACGAATGAAGCTTTGCAGCCCTTGTTGCCCCGTTTCCTTGTGGCCAAGCGTTCTGTTCTCAGCGCTCGAGCAGTGCGGACTGTTTCTGCTCAGAAGCCGGACAACCTACATATTTGGCGTGAGGCAAGCGCGTGGTCAACGGTTCGGGTGATGAAACGTGTACTCGAGGAACCGTCACATGTAATGGCTGCTTTCCCGGCCTTCCAAGCAATCTTGCTTCTGGATTGTCATGCTTCCCACATTCACCCCGACACGGTGCGCGCCGCGAACAACAGCAACATCTGGATGGCTGTCATTCCAGCAGGCCTAACTGGGCTGATTCAGCCTTTGGACACACTGGCCTTTTCGGCTTTCAAGTTCCATCTCAAACAGCAATTTCAGATGGGTCTGGGAGAGAGCGAGACACTGCCAGAGGATTTTTTACGCCGAGTCTTTGCTTTGAGCCAGACCTTTTTCAATGGAAGGAAATGGAAGGCAGGTTTTGCGTCTTTGGGGTTGGAGCCGGAGGCCCCTGTTCGCTTATCGCGTGATCTTCGACCATATCAAGAAGCCCTCGCGCTGGTACCTTCAAGTGCGCCCACTGGCGACCAGCTTGCTTCAATTTTTCCTCGTAATTACGTCTTGACAGATGATCTTTTCGACGCATGGACTCGTCTTGCGCGTGGTCGGCACCTGCGTTTGCGCTTGGTTTGAGGCGCGCCGGTAAAGGCTGAACTCGGGGGGTACTGTTTCATGTCCTCTAGACTTTTTCCAGTCCGCGAGGCTACTTTCTGGCACGGACACACGGTAGAAAAAACAGCCCAGCGGAGTCTGCAGGGTGCTGCTAAAATGCGTCTGTGCGTCAAACCTGGCAGGAGAGCTTGGACACGCAGCTCGCCCGCCTGAAACAGGCTAGAAAGGATCTGAAAGAATCCATGAAGAGGGCGACTCGGGCATTGAAGAGCGCGAAGCAGAAGAAGCAAAGGCGCCTTCTCTGCAAGAAGTTTTGCCCCTAACAAGCACCAATACATGTTAATCGGAGGCTGCTCAAGCAAGCGCGGCGCCTGTCAGATGCAGATTTGAGCGAAGTGGTGAGAATGCGGCTGGGAGGGTGAACGTGCGGTGTTTCTGTAGCTTGTCGTGGGCTTTGTCTTGCCCTAGCAATGTACAGAATGCCCGTGTGGAGATCTGTATAGGATGCTTGCAGGCCGTCCTGCAGCAGGGTTTCTGCTCCTCGCTTGGCGTGCTGGGCGTTGTCTTTGCCGCAGCACTGTAGAGAAGTGCTCGTTTTAGGATCTGTACAGATAGATGCTTGCAGGCCGTCCTGCGTTAGTGTTTCTGCTCTGGCGTGGTGGGCGTTGTCTTTGCCATTCTTTGCCGCACCAATGTACAGAACGCCCGTGTACATATCTGTACAAATAAGATGCTTGCAGGCCGTGCTGTGTGTTGTAGCCTTCCCCGCGAGCCACAGCGCCGTACAGTAGAGCACAGAGCTGCACTCGTGAACTCTTTGCAACCTACCAGACCTGCTGGGTACTCACAAACGCGCAAGTCTGCAATGACATGTATTGTGGCTGCAAGTCTGCTGCGGTGAGCGTCTTGTAACTTAGAGTAGCTTCTGGCTTGTTTAGAACGGGATGCGTGCACTGTTGTGTGCTTCACGCCCGACTCTTCAAGCTGCAACACACTACTGTGACTGCCACAGCCAGAAAGCGTCCCAGGGCACGAGACTGTCACTGCATTTCACCGCCATAGTTGGCATGGTCTGTGGCTTGCTTATGTCTGACTGCTCAGAAGGGTTTTGGAACTGCTGCAGAAATCTCAGGGACCATCCGCGTCCTGGCACACCTCGAAACACGAACACGCGAAACAGATCCTGAGATCCGCATGAAGCTTTTGATGGCCACTGCGGCAGGCCAGACTTCAGAAAGCATCCAACTGTTCAGTAGAGTTTTCGACAGCATCCAACTGTCCAGCCGCCTGCATTGTTTGATTTCAGCTGCCTCGTGCGGCTGGAGGCATCCATCTACCTGGCAGCCTGCAAAGTTCGACGTTTGGAAGCCGTCTCAGTGTGTCTCAATGCTCGGAGGGCATGCAGCCTGCAGACTTTGATGTTTGGTAGGTTGGCCACCAGAGTTCAGAAAGCATCCAACTGTCCAGCAGAGTTTCATGTTTGGTGGAAACTAGAATTGGAGAGCATCCAACTGTCCAGCCGCCTGCAGAGTTTGATGTTAGCTGCCTCGTGCGGCTGGAGGCATCCATCTACCTGGCAGCCTGCAAAGTTCGACGGTTGGAAGCCGTCTCAGTGTGTCTCAGCGCTCGGAGGGCATGCAGCCTGCAGACTTTGACGTTTGGTAGGTTGGCCACCAGAGTTCAGAAAGCATCCAACTGTCCAGCAGAGTTTCATGTTTGGTAGAAACTAGAATTGGAGAGCATCCACCTGTCCAGCCGCCTGTAGAGTTTGATGTTAGCTGCCTCGTGCGGCTGGAGGCATCCATCTACCTGGCAGCCTGCAAAGTTCGACGTTTGGAAGCCGTCTCAGTGTGTCTCAGCGCTCGGAGGGCATGCAGCCTGCAGACTTTGACGTTTGGTAGGTTGGCCACCAGAGTTCAGAAAGCATCCAACTGTCCAGCAGAGTTTCATGTTTGGTGGAAACTAGAATTGGAGAGCATACAACTGTCCAGCCGCCTGTAGAGTTTGCTGTTAGCTGCCTCGTGCGGCTGGAGGCATCCATCTACCTGGCAGCCTGCAAAGTTCGACGTTTGGAAGCCGTCTCAGTGTGTCTCAGCGCTCGGAGGGCATGCTGCCTGCAGACTTTGACGTTTGGTAGGTTGGCCACCAGAGTTCAGAAAGCATCCAACTGTCCAGCAGAGTTTCATGTTTGGTAGAAACTAGAATTGGAGAGCATCCAACTGTCCAGCCGCCTGCAGAGTTTGATGTTAGCTGCCTCGTGCGGCTGGAGGCATCCATCTACCTGGCAGCCTGCAAAGTTCGACGTTTGGAAGCCGTCTCAGGGTGTCTCAGCGCTCGGAGGGCATGCAGCCTGCAGACTTTGACGTTTGGTAGGTTGGCCACCAGAGTTCAGAAAGCATCCAACTGTCCAGCAGAGTTTCATGTTTGGTAGAAGCTAGAATTGGAGAGCATCCAACTGTCCAGCCGCCTGTAGAGTTTGATGTTAGCTGCCTCGTGCGGCTGGAGGCATCCATCTACCTGGCAGCCTGCAAAGTTCGACGTTTGGAAGCCGTCTCAGTGTGTCTCAGTGCTCGGGGGGCATGCAGCCTGCAGACTTTGACGTTTGGTAGGTTGGCCACCAGAGTTCAGAAAGCATCCAACTGTCCAGCAGAGTTTCATGTTTGGTAGAAGCTAGAATTGGAGAGCATCCAACTGTCCAGCCGCCTGCAGAGTTTAATGTTAGCTGCTTCGTGCGGCTGGAGGCATCCATGTACCTGGCAGCCTGCAAAGTTCGACGTTTGGAAGCTGTCTCAGTGCCTCTGAGTGCTCGGAGGGCATGCAGCCTGCAGACTTTGACGTTTGGTAGGTTGGCCGCCAGAGTTCAGAAAGCATCCAACTGTCCAGCAGCTTGCAGGGTTTCATGTTTGTTCGCGTGCACAGCGTTTTTAAGCTTTTGAGGCATCGAACTACCCAGCAGCCTGCGAACGACGTAGGGTTGGTTCCTCAGATCGCCACTACTTGACAGCTTGCACAGTTGGACGTTTGGTCGATCAGCCAGAGTTTGGACGTCTCACTACCCAGCATGCAGAGTTTCATGTTTTTGAGCCTTGCGCCATCGAGCTTGGAGGGCATCCCACTTCTCGTAGCTTGCAGAGTTTCGCTTGGTCGCCTGTTGAACCAGAGTTTGGAGCATCCAACCTGCGAAGTTCAACGTATTGTGTGTGGGGGAGTGAGAGAGACGAAGAGAGAGATATAGAGGGGAGTATGCCTGCATCTGCGAATGCGTGCGTGCGTGGCTGCGTGGCTGGGTGGCTGGGTGGCTGAGTGGGTGGGTGGGGGGGTGGGTGGGTGGGCGCGTCAGTGAGTCATGGAGTGACTGCGTGACTCGTGGTCTGTGCATTGGCAAATTTTTTCGAAACGGCACGAAAGTGTTGCAAAAACCCAGACAGAACGAAGAAAGAAACGTCCGAAAACGTGGAAAAAACATTTTCCGAATGCAGTGGTAGTGAATGTGCGGGTTTGGAACCGCGGCCTATGCAAGGCTAACCTGCTGTGAAAGTGTTGCTAAAGACAAGAAGAAGCGAAGCAAAATCTAGCCGAAGGCTTCAAAAGCAATTTTTCGGCAGGTTTCTGCAAGAAATGCGCGGTTGTTAAATCGTAGTCTGTGCGTTGGCAAATTTTTTTCGAAACGGCACGAAAGTGTTGCAAAAACCCATACAGAACGAAGAAAGAAACGTCCGAAAACGTTGAAAAACATTTTCCGAATGCAGTGGTAGTGACTGTGCGGGTTTGGAACCGTGGCCTATGCAAGGCTAACCTGCTGTGAAAGTGTTGCTAAAGACAAGAAGAAGCGAAGCAAAATCTAGCCGAAGGCTTCAAAAGCAATTTTTCGGCAGGTTGCTGCAAGGAATGCGCGGTTTTTAAATCGTAGTCTGTGCGTTGGCAATTTTAGCGAAACGGCACGAAAGTGTTGCAAAAACCCATACAGAACGAAGAAAGAAACGTCCGAAAACGTTGAAAAACATTTTCCGAATGCAGTGGTAGTGAATGTGCGGGTTTGGAACCGCGGCCTATGCAAGGCTAACCTGCTGTGAAAGTGTTGCTAAAGACAAGAAGAAGCGAAACAAAATCTAGCCGAAGGCTTCAAAAGCAATTTTTCGGCAGGTTGCTGCAAGGAATGCGCGGTTTATAAATCGTAGTCTGTGCGTTGGCAATTTTAGCTAAACGGCACGAAAGTGTTGCAAAAACCCAAACAGAACGAAGAAAGAAACGTCCGAAAACGTTGAAAAACATTTTCCGAATGCAGTGGTAGTGAATGTGCGGGTTTGGAACCGCGGCCTATGCAAGGCTAACCTGCTGTGAAAGTGTTGCTAAAGACAAGAAGGAGCGAAGCAAAATCTAGCCGAAGGCTTCAAAGGCAATTTGCTGCTGTAGGGAATGCGTGGGTTTTGAATCGCAGTCTGTGCGTTGACACACTTGCGCGACACGCCGCAATATGTTGCACAAACCCATACAGAACGAAGAAAGAAACGTCAGAAAACGTTGAAAAACATTTTCCGAATGCAGTGGTAGTGAATGTGCGGGTTTGGAACCGTGGCGTATGCAATGCCAAACTGCTGTGAAAGTGTTGTTAAAGACCCGAAGAAACGCAGCAGCCGAAGGCTTCAAAAGCAATTGTGGGCATGCCGCTGTAAGGAATGCGCGGGTTTTGAATCGCAGTCTGTGCCAGTCTGTGCGTTGACAAACTTGCTCGAAACACAGCAAATATGTTGCACAAACCCAAAAACCATAAAGAATACGCCGGAAAGGCTTGAACAACAATTTTCCGAATGCTGTGGTACTGAATCTGCGGCTTTGGAACCGGGGCGTGTGCAAGGCGAATGCGCGGGTTGTGGGTCGTGGTCTACGCA